GCCTTCTTCTTTTTTTTTCCAGGTCCCTTGAGCGCTATATTTATTAAATCCACCACAAAGAAGAGAACATACTGTCAACACCTACGAAACATCAGGCTCGTCTCTCTCGCGGGCGGTTCGTCTGTTGTTGCCGTGCAGTAAACTCTCCCTCTCTCATTTATCAGTCGCACTCTGTTTTATGTACAAAGCCGAGCGTAACGTGAAGCACAGGATATTAGGATTGAAAGATGAGGCGTGACAGCGTCAGTCACATGTTTTTCAGACAGGCTAACTATAGCTGTTATTTATTTTTTTTATCTGCAGCGTGATTGTCTTGTGTAGAGAAGCGAGCACAGATCTGGTCTTAACAGAGATGCTGCAGCCGTTTTAATGTTCTTATTTTTTAAGCTCAAAACTTCATGAAAGAAAAGAAAGCTTGATGCAGTTCAGGGACGTGGAACCTAAATTATAATTGATGTGATCCCCTAAAAGTGTCTACACATTTCAGCAGCTGCATTTCTATTTTCTTGCATTTGTCTTCGTTTTCAGCCACTCTGAAAGGAAAGCTAAAGGGATTAGCAACAAATGGGCTGCACTTAAATTTAATACAAACAAGTTTGGTCGCCAGTAATGAATCCCAAAGATTTACTTATCATGTACTAATTCATTTTTGATCTAATATCTGAGATTTTCATGCAATTGCCTCCAAAGCACTTTGTGCTGAGCGCTAATTAGCAAAAATTAGCATGCTAACATCCAGTGGTTTCTCGGGTGTTAATAGCAGGTATTAGCATGATGACATTAGCATTTAGCTCAAAGTGCTACTATGCCGTATCCCCTTATAGAGACCTGCTAGCATAAATGTATTTTATGCTAGGCTATCTATCGATATAAACATTTTCTGTCTTTATGTAAAGCCTTAAACGGTGGAAGATTTTGCCTTAAAGGATATTCTTTACAACCCAAAACATTATGATGGTGTCACGCTAACGGCTAAACTCTTACAACATGAATGTGAGTGTTGTCCTTGTGCCAATGCTTGAAACTATGAGAGATATGACTGTTTCTTTCTGGGACTATAAAGCAGTGGCAGTGTTTTGATGTAATTTTAGTAACTTGTAAATACTGAATGTTTATGCTTTATTTATTTATTCCACCATAAAAGAGGTTAAGTGTGTTCTCGTGCTTTGTGAAGGGTTGTTTTGTACATAGAAGTGAACCTGTGTAAACAGATGAACAGGTGTTCTTGTGTGCTGTATTGATAAAACTTATTTTATTGAACTTGGAACAGAGCTTTGTGTTTATTTGAGTTACTAAATGTGTCTCGGTGAAGGTGTCGACACAACAAAAACGGCAAACTGGTTAGAAAAAAAAAAACAATGATCAGCTTGGGTGCAGATATGACTTCAGTTTTATGGCCCTTGACTGAATGTGAAGCGTCTCAAACTGTGTGAACAGATGTTTGAGTGAACCGCCCGCTCAGTTGCCAAGCAGTGACAGGTGGTAGAACCAGGTGCATGAATGTCAATGATTCCTGTCGGACTGCATCTTCAAATTTCAATCACAGAAAAACCACATCAGTGTCACGAGCTGAGCTGCAACAAACAGCATGTAAACTTATTCTATGGGTCGTTACATGCTTAAAATATCTAAACACAATTAAGACCTCTATGGATATAAAGACTCCCAGCAATCTCAAATCATCTTCCCTGTAGAGGCTCAAAATAAAGACCTCAATCTGAGCCTCCTGGCTTCCACTGACACTAATTGTATAATGTCATAATGCTCCACCTGTTTCTCTGTCACTCGTTTTATTTGCCTTGGAAAGCCCAGGTCTGCTCTCTACCCCAATACACACATTATTAGTTCACTGAGGTGCTTTTTTCAAACGCCTACTCCATTCCTTGTCAGAAGCAGTCTTCAGTCTTTTTCCAGCTCATTCAATTTTGCTTTATTAAATATAATGTGAAGGGAAATGAAGTGTTATTCATGTTTTGATTACCACACAATCATTCATGTTAATTAACTTGATTAGACCTTAATCTTAAATAATCAAACCCTCCTAACTTCAATCTGATGAACGAGGTTCGAGTGAATGAGGGTAGAGGTGGATAAGCTGTTTTAATTAACTAGTAGAATAAGGCATCATCTAGACACACTTCATTTGCATATCTCTATCTCCCACTAACCATTTACAGGGCTCTAAATGTGCGAACCCTTTTTGATGATGATTCTCAGAGGATTTAATATTCATATTGATATATAATTGCAGACGTGCTAAATAACTTACTTTGAATTAGCTCAGCATGACTTAAGTCTGTGAGAAGAAAAGGAAACTGCTTTGTGCGCATGAGTAAACAAAAGTACAGATATTCACAAGGCTTAGTTTTCGGTCTTCATCTTTTCATTCTCGGCTTTTACTTCCTCAGGCTATAAAAACAACTGTTATAATTTAGCAGACACAGGAATCCAAATAACACCTTCTTCCTGGTGGGCAACTATCGGCCTATGGTCCACATGCACCCCCCCCGCCACACTTAACGTGGCCTAAAAGACAATTTTAAATATCTATAAATTGTGAAGAAAACTCAGAAATATTTGAATCTTTGATCACCTGATATGTTTAGTTCTTTGCAAGAATATTTGCAAAGGAATATTTGTTATTTTGATATTTGTTCGAAAGCCATTATTCCGACATAAATTTTGGCCAACAATGCAACCATTCTGCAACAGCTAAAAAAAATCAAATAGGGAAAATTTGCATGCGATGGCAATGAAGAACTTAGTATGAATTAGTTCATTATCATTTAAAGCAAATCCTTTTCACAAAATGGGGGCTACAATGAGAAATATTTCATCGAACAAAATAATGGAGTTCCTCAAGGCTCAATCTTTGGTCCTCTTCTGTTCGTTCTCTGAATGCTAACACTATTAAAGCCATACAAAACACAAAATATGTTAGTATAATTTTGAAGGCAAGAATCCATGATGGTTTTATTTTTTGCTCAGAAGTTGAAGTTTTCAACGCAATTCAGACATTTTCTTAAATCAGATGAGAATACCTATTGTTTTTCAGAATGCTGTTGTCCCAAATAGTTGTTACGGTGTCCAACAAAGAAAAATTTTCTGCAATGGCTGACAAACAAGCAGTAAGTGTCTCAAAGCATTTCAATTCTCTTTCTGTTTGCATGTCACAGAGATGTGTTGTATGTTTGTATGTACCTGTCTGCTTTGTGTTCGACAGGTGTTTTTGCACATATACACACAAATGCTTTGATGTAAATGCCAATCAGCCCTCTGTGAGTTTCCAGTCCAGCTGGCAGCCTCTGGCACGATTCTCTGATATCATTACAAAGGCTTTTAATTTCCTGATTACTTCACAAAACAACATATTGATTAAGTTCCCTTTTTAGTGGAGCTTGAAGTGTAAATACCCTTGAGGGAATTTTAACTTTCAGTAGCTCCACATTGAAATAGTGTTAAATACTTAATAGGTCTTCAATATTTTTACTCCCTCAGTGGATTCAATAACCCAAAGTCATCTATGTCTCAGTACGGGGGGTTGGGGGAAAACCTCTTATGCTTATGCCTCCCCTTGTTGTTTTTTAATGACCCCTATGGAAGGTAACCAATACCACCGCCTGAAAAAAAAAAAAAAAACGATGAAGGAGAAATGCATTATCGCTGAGTCATCTACCGAGTGAAACATGCGTCGCTGGAGCCTTTCCCCAAGGGGAAGTGTAATGATTTCTGTAGGCGCGCAGAATAAACCTGCCCAGCCCAAATATAAATAACAGCCATTAAAGCTTATCCCGGTGAGGAATGCTTTTATGAGAAACCTGAACAATATACAGCATATATATACAGGTTATTAGATTTCTCTTGGGGTGAAATATAGTGACAGGCTTGACTCAATAAATATACAGACTGCTCAGAGCTGCAGCTAGAGGAGGAAATCTACTCACTCTGTCTGTGTTTGACTTTGCAAGATTCTCTTTATCATTTATCCTACATTAAATAGCTCAGTGCAAATGTAACAATGTTCACAGGATGTTATTTCAGCCCTTGGACATGAAAAGAAGTGTTTCTTTTTTTTTGAAGTGACATTTTAAGTGACACATCCTCTGATCTTTACTTCTGACCCGGTTTTAATTGGTCTCCCTCATCGCGTTTTCACCCTTTTTAAAGTCACGGTCACCTCCTGCGGCCATGTCAAAGCCAAGTGCAGCTCTATTTACCCCAAAACAAATGCTAATTACAGCGTTCACACATTAAACGGCTTCAATGTCACGGCCATGAGCCCGAGCCTCAAAGGAAGCTCACTCAGGCCTGATTAAGAAGGAAACAGAACACTGTCTTCAGACATCCTTCAGTAGGCCTACGACTTGGAATGAAATAATCATTGCATTTGCTGTAAAGGTCTTCTCAGTAGATATACAATGAGCTGTGTCCTTAAAATGCCAATCGAGTTTGGCTGGCTCTCTTCGTCGTCACATCATCAAGAGGCAGATAAATATAACAGCGCCAAGAAACAGTAATTATTTAGAATCTAAATATAAGCTTCCAAATGTGTTTCAATTAGTCACCTTGCAATGTTTTTACTGGAGTTGATGGAAACTCTGTTTGATTACTTTTCAGACATTTCCAAACTTTGTCGAGCTAAATTGGATGTGTGGGAGCGTCAGGAAAAACATATCCTTCAGAGGGTCAGGGTCACGATGTGGATGTTGGCTTAATGAGCTGAAAATTGGCAAATATGTCTTAACAATGACAAAACACTGTTATCATGAGGCTCTTTTGTCATTTTAAACACCAAACATTAAACTGCTGAGACTTTAAAGTTTATCAGTAATGTTAAAAACAATCGTCTAGATGTGTTTATCGCGCGAGTGAAAAAAAGTCCTCTGAAGAGTAAAATATGCAAACACAGAAAGAAAAACTGTCTCCACCCAATCGCACTAATTATTAGTATGAATATCTATGAGCCAATCACAGAGTGCCACATCATCTAAAATGGATGTCAAAAGAGCCACGCCCCTTTTCTCAGAAAGCATGGAGGACCCTAACTTATGGAAGAAAGGTAAGGCACTTTTAAATCTCGAGTTCAGCCGGCTGTGTTGCTGTTGGAGCTGTGTTAACATGGACAGGACGGCCTTGTGTATAAAAGCTGTTTAAGTCAAGGACTAGAGAAAAGGAGAAGAACATACTCATTGAGTATTTGGATGTCACTTAAGTGTGTTTAGATGTCGGCCATTCACAAAATCAATCAATTCATGTGCAATATGAAGCTATGAGCTAACTAAAGAGTGCTAACATTAGCATGCTAACACCACAATGCAGGACACAGGTGATTGTAGCTCGAGCAAAGGACAGTTTTGTCTGCCGCCCGCCCTTAATGGTGCCTAATTATGGTGCGCAGTTTGTTTTGGTTTAATGCTGGTGCTCAAGGGCGACATCTACTGGATCAAAAAAGTTGCAAATTGCAATGTTTGGAGTCTTTGGCAAAGTGATTTTGCAAATTATAACGGTTAGACAACTGGTACAGAAAAGTTGCGTCTAAAATTGAAAGTACTTGCAGAATTAGTGAGGATTGTTTGGATATGCATGAATCCTAACAATGTGATTTCAGGCAGGGACAACATAAGCTTCTATACAGTGTAGTTTGAGGTAGGCTATTTGATGTGTGTGGTGATGATGTATGTTTTTTTTTTTAATAAGAGGAAATAAATGTGGTGTTTCTTTATGAATGGATGCAGCATCTGTCAACACCACCTGTCAGAGGCTTTGCAGCCATGAACAGTGGATCATTTTCTAGACGTGTGTTCGACCACCTGCCGTCCTGTCAGCGCCGCTCACATCCTCTGTCATTTGTTGTTCCTGCGCTGTTGTGTGTATGTTTGTGTCACAGCTCGTATGTGACGGATAAAAGCGCATCAATACTGTTTGTTTTGTGTGTGTGGTTTGGTCTTTAAAGGACCTTTAGAGAGTCAGCCGTCTGCTTTCAAAAAACACAAGAGAGGGAATGTTTTCTTAAAGGTCGGACATTTTTTAAACCCCTCCTTTAAATTGCTGCTTTGGTCTTGTTTTCTCGTGGGGGTGGGCGAGTGGTTCTCGAGACGTACCGATACGCCCTGAAAGGGCCACGACCTGTCAGATCTTGATGTGTGTGGGAGGGGCATGTGGTGGCGTTCGTGCGATGGTAAGGGATGAGCTGTTCACTGTGATCCTGCACCGTGACAGAGTGCTAATCCTCCACAATGGGCTCACTCATTAGCTCAACCCACCCACCTGCTCTTCTATGGGACCCTCATTTTCCCTCTTTGTCCCTGTAAATTACAGAGCACTGTCAGGTGGTGTGTGTTTGTGTATGCGTGTGTGAGGGTGTTAGGTAATGGATAATGGAGGGGTAAGGTGAAGTGTGTGGGCTCCGAGCTGTAGGATGAGTGACTGTAACTTTACCTGTGGTCATAGAATAGAACAACAAATATGATCTCAGACAGTTTCTTACACAAGACGAGACTGATTTTGCACCCAATTCCCTCTTCTGATTATCTTTTGATGGTTTCCAAAGATTATCTTTCCGGTCTTTCCTTGTGTAAATCAGTATACTTCTTGTGATGAAAGATACAACAGAAAACTCTAAAAAGTACTTAGTCTCTTTTTTTGATTCTCTGATTTTTTGGAAATTTTCAAAATCCAAAACAAAAAACGCCAACCGGAATTTAAAATTTTAGACACTATCATGCCGTGTCAGCCATGCACGCACTCTAAAAACGGTCCCATGGCATGAAACAAGCAAACTGCAAACACATTTTTTTATTCTCTTCCAGCTCACACTAACATTTAAAACACATGTTACCCTGCCGGAATAACTTCATCCATTTGTTAAAAAATGTCCTTGTGAATTTTCAGTGTAGTCCAAAAAGTATGATTGCAAATCCAGCCAATCATCATCCACCATGTTGGTTTACTTCAAAATCATGTTTGACCACGAGAGATTTTCCGCTCTTTACTGATTTTAAAAACATGGGAGTCCACAGACATGAGGACAGACAACCGATTTGTACACACACTAGATGATTCGGCCTGACCGCGATACACCACACACCTGCCGTTTGTCGGAACGATGTCACAGTGGCGATTCCACAGACTCAAGATCTCACAGGAACTCGAGTGATCAAACGTGATTTCAAGAAGAACAAACAAATATGGAGAATGATCGCCATCAGTCGACCCTACTACGTCTTTGCATGAGACATGATAAAATCACTCGTGCTGCTGCTTTAATTCCTCAAGCTGGTCTCCTTTTTTCAGTATTCCACTTGGCTCGGGGCACACTTGTGTTTATGTGCACTGCTGGTGTGTGCACGCTTATTATTGCCAAAATGAAAAAAAAACGACTTAAAACTGAAGCAATCCTTTATGTCGGCTCATCTGAATGCAAATGTGTACTTACAGTTCTTTGCACCCTGAGCTCTTTAAAGTCAGTCTTTTCACTTTGCTTCCCTTTGAAAACGTCTCTCCTCGACATCAGAGGCTGCAGACGGCGTGCTCGCCTTTCTACATGATCACTTGGTCATTAAAAAAAAAAAAAAAGGTGAAAACAAGGTCAGTCCCACACCTTCATCCGAACGCTCGCCGAGAGAAACCGACAATTAAAGCAGTCAGGGGTCATTTGCTGCTGGTCACACGCACAGCAGCAGCCTCTGCCCTGTGATCAGCAGAGGAGGCTGCGGTTAGTGATGCTCTGGACGCCGCCTTTATTTTAGGCCACAGATGATTAAACAGCTTGGACGTCCGTGGCTGAAATGGGTCATCGTGCATTTCCTCTGATCCACCTGTCAGACGAAGAGGCTCATCCTCAGTTTGACACAACAGAGAAGAAACAGAAAAGCAAAAAAAACCTTTAAGATTTATGCGCCTGAGATCCCTTTTTATGCATGACTTATTTTGTGTTTATGTCACATTTGACACTGTGCATATTTTAAAGCCGATAAGTTTGAGCCTATGGTTAAATACTGATGAATTCAAGCTTACTCACAGGGGTGGTTTTAGTCATTTGGAGGACTCTGAGCAAAGACCACTACAAGGCCTTTCTCTAGTTTCCTTAAAGTTATCCTAGTTAGTATTTATTTCTTATAGATATATTTTACTTTAAAAGTCCCATGTTATGCTAAATCCACTTCACCATGTTTTTATAACACTAACATGTGTCTCTAGTCTGTCTACAAACCCCCCAATGATGAGAAAAGTCCATCCTCTCCGTCTTTTGCCTGCTCCACTTTTCAGAAAATGTGTGCTCAAACAGGCCGTTTGGAGATTTTCCCTTCATGACATCACAAAGGGCAGTAGCCCCTCCCCCAGGTGGGTGACACTCCCACAGCTAGGTGTTTGTTCTGCCCTCTGAGTCTGCCTTCTCACCGTAAACAATAGGACATGGAGCGAGAAAGCCAGAGTACACCCCGTCCAGGGAGGGGGCGTGGTCAGACAGAGCTCATTTACATACTTAAAGGTACAGACACAGAAACAGCCTGTTCTGAGCAGGGCTGGAATAGAGGGATTTATAGGCATTGTCAAATACAGGATCAGAGTGGATTTAGAACAAGAAACTTCACGTGTTCCTTATATTTGAAATGCAACACTCTCCTGCATGCTCACATCATCGTGTGTCACCTTTAGCAAACTGTGCATTACATCAGACAACCTGAAAGCTTAACACAGGGCAAGCACTGTAAACTGCAAACACTAAAATCCTTCCAGGGATAAATGTTAAATCAAACGAAAGCAAAGAAAGGACTCTCTATCATTTGATTTTCTGCAACATCATGATGTCACTTTTGGTTGGCCAGCTGATGCTAAACAGATAGCTTGCATATTGTTTGTATTGCAAAGTAAGTGGTATGATGTGATGCTCTGTCTTCAGGCAAATGGCTTTCTTTCTAACCCTTCCCCTGTCCTCTCTCGCTCGCTCTCTCTCTCTCTCTCTCTCTCTCTCTCTCTCTGTCTCTCTCTCTCGGTCTCTCTCTCTGTCTTTGTTTATGACTTTGAAAAGTTGTTATCTTCTTGTAGGTCGCAAAAAAGGGCAAAAGTAAGTTCTGCAGGGGAATAAACGACTCATCCTACACAAAGACTAGTCGTGAATTTAAGAATCTGAAGCCATGCCAGCGGACGTACAAGGCTTTATCTAGTAGAAATGCAATGAAACTAATGATAACATCATTATTCTAACATGCTCAGACAGAACGGTAAGGTTGAGTCATCAGCCATTAGCCGAGGTTGTAGCTAAAGACAGAGGCGCTGCTAATCAACAGGCAAGGCAGGCAACCGCTTGGGGCCCCAGGCCTGTTTTGGGCCCCCCCCCAGGTCTGACAGAGTTTAAACCACAGCAGTGGCTCAAAATGTGCCCCCCCCCAAAGGTGGCCCCATCTGTCAGCAATCACTCTTGTTGAACTGTCAAGCGTTGCATGCATTATTGCTGTGATGTGTTCTGAAAATTTTTTTATAAAATCTGTTCAAAGTTGACATTGGCTATTTTTTTTTTTTGTTGGTTTCAAAACATGTATGACATACTGAATGCTGGTTGGAGGGTCCCCCATGACTTTTTGCCTCGGGCCCCTACAGACTTTAGAATCACCACTGGCTATAGACTGGCTGCAGCTCTGGTTAAAGGGCCTGCTCACCCATCTCTATTACCTGGATGTAAACAAGCACAGCGAACTGATAGCATCTCGTAAAAAAAACAGTTTTTTTTTTCATGAATCTGAAATAATTCCCCAAAACAAAGCAGATTTATTTTCTCTACTGAAGGCACTAGGCCTCTCTTCTTTCTGAACTTTACTTTTTAAGAAATATTGAAACCATAAATTCTTACTTCATTATTAGATAATTTTGGAGCCTTCCTCTCTGCACAATTTAGATGTTGGCGTTCAATTTACTGTCGCAGTGAAATTAAACTGCCCGTTAAAAATGGAGCTCGCTGGTCTGGAAACTATATTTGATATAAAATATGAATTTAAAACTTAAACAGACATTAAACGTTGGCGATAGCGTAGGTCATGGGTTTTATACGCGGGGTCCACT